CGTCCGCTCCGGGGGGTCGACCCCCTCTCATTCCCCCCCTTTCCTCCCCGTCTCGGTGACGAGCGTTTGCTGTGGGGGGGGTACGGTTTGACAATTTCTGAGTACGTTTGCCCACAATCCGCTTGTAGGAGGACATGCCCGACCTAACACAAGCAGGTTGTTGCGCTCGTGAGCCCCCCCTCCCCCCTCCCCTCCATGACGGACTCTAAAGGGGGGATAAAAGCAAGTTCTGCAGCAGAAGGCCCTGGGCAGTCACGCAGTTCACGTTGGGCACGATGGGCCGACGATTTCGGGCGCCCAGGTTCCATCACGGGGCGTCAGACGACATGTGCAGAACCCTTGCAGACAAGCTGTTCAGGGACCTCCAGATTCCCCCCCCGCAAAACAAAAACACGGTTGATGTTCTCCATGCCCATTCCTCCCCGTTCTGTCCTTTCCCTCCCTCCCGACCTGAGAGGGAAGAAGGCCGACCCGCCGAAGCCCGAGGACCAGGACCGCAAGAGCGTCCAGGCCTGAGGTCAGGCGCAGGGGCTGCACCACGACCCTCTCCCCTCCACGCGAGCACGGAGACTGCTGGTCAAAACCTCCATCCCTCCTTCCCTCCCTTCTCCCGCTTCGGCGCTCAGTCTTAAGTCGGGCCTGTCCCCCTACGAGGGGATTTGGGAAGAAAAAATTAAGAATACCTCCAACACACTAAACAATGCTTGAAAATAGTCAAAACATAGTCCCCAGACTATGTTTTGACTTTTTTTGAGTATCCCTCCTGTAGAGGGACAGGCCCTTCTGTGGAGGGACAGGCCCGACTTAAGCTCCGCGCTGCGTCCCCGCTCGTCCCCCCAGGGAGCTGGGGGGATATCCTCGTGACAGGGGGGCGCCCCGGGCCTCCGCCCCCGGGAGCCCCCCCCAAAGCTCCGTCCGCTGGGCCACGGAGGAGGAGGAGGAGGAATAATAATGATAATAAGAAGAAGGATGATGATAGTAATACTAACAATGATATGATTAGTCATAACAATAGTCATGCACGTAATATTAAGAAGACGAATACTGATACGATTAAGCATCATACTGATCATACTCATAATGCAACGAATAATAGTAATAGTAATCGTAATAATACTAATATGTGTAATACTCATCTTATACGAGTAGCATCACTACTTAACAGTACTAGTGCTAATAATACTAGCAACACTAGTAATATTAACTCTACCAATCATAACAGTACTTGCTTTAATATGTTTAATAATCATACGACTAATAAAATAGTAGCAATGCTAGTAAACAAATAAAGACAAACCTAATACACATGCTGCGAGTACCTAATACACATTTTCATATTAATAATCATAATAATGAGAATAGTTATTATTATCATTAATAATACTAGTGATAATAATACGCATGATAATGATACTGATGATGCGAATGATAATAATAATAACAACAATACTAATACTACTACTACTAATAATACTACTAATAATAATGCTAATACTAATACTAATACTACTACTACTAATAATAATAATACTAATAATATTATTAATAATAATACTACCAATAATAATACTAATAATACCAATAATAATAATGATAATAATAAATAATAAATAATACGAATAATAATAATACTAATAATAATACTAATAAGAATAATAACAATAATACGAATAATCATACTAATACTAATATCACTAATATTATTACTCATACGAATCGGAGAAGGAGGAGGCGGAGGAGAAGGAGGAGGAGGATGACGAGGAGGAGGCGGATGAGGAGGACGAGGAAGAGGAGGAGGAGGAGGAGGAGGAGGAGGAGGAGGAGGAGGAATTGCATGATGAGGATGAGGAGAAGGTGAGGAGGAGGACGAGGAGGCGGCGGAGGAGGGGAGGAGGAGCACGAAGAGGAGGAGGAGGAGGAGGAGGAGGAGGAGCCGAGGCGGAGGAGAGGCCGAGGAGGAGGGAGGAGGAGGAGGAGGAGAGGAGGAGGGGGAGGGGGAGGGGAAGGAGAGGAGGAGGAGGAGGAGGAGAAGGGGGGGAGGAGGAGGGAGGAGGAGAGGAGGTGGAGGAGGAGGCGGAGGAGGAGGAGGAGGCGGAGGAGAAGGAGAAGGAAGCTATAAGGAGAAAGACGAGGGGGAGGAGGAGGCGGAGGAGGAGGACGGCGGAGGAGGAGGAGGAGGAGGAAGAAGAGGAGGAGGAGGAGAAGGAGGAGGGGGAGGGGGAGGGGGAGGGCGGGAAGGGCGAGAGAGGCAGGGCAGATGAGGGGAGGGGAGCAGGGGGAATGGGAGGGGGGCTCGGGGTCACACCAACATGGATTACGGATCCGTGGATCGGGCGCGCGGGCACCACGTCCACGGATCGGGGAAGGTACAACCCGAAACGTGAAGCCAGCGCCACCTCATTTAGCGACGGAGCGCGTCGATTTCGTATGGAGTCGGGATCCATCGCTAATCCAGGCGCTTTCGTCAATGAGGCGGGAAGGGGGGCTGGAGAGGGGATGGGAGGGGGGTGGAGGGCGAGGGCAGTGGTTTTGTGGCCGCGGCAGGGGGTCGTGCACGGATGTCTGGAGGGAGGGGGAGTGAACTTCAGACATGCGATATTTGGATGTGTTGTTTACAGTGGAGACCCATGCCGAGAAACACTTTGCTTGCCTCCAGAGTGCCCTTGGTTTCTTGGGTTTCGATGGTCTTGCTATGGAGCACGTGACGCTCCCACACCAAAAATCAATGGACGTTCTGGGGTCTCAGGGTTGGGTTTCTTGTGGACTGTTTCTCGGGGTCGGGCCTCCACTGTGCGGGGTCCCCTTGTGAAGTCCCCACCCTCTCCGCGGGTCCGTTTCTCGTCCGGGGTCGTTTTGCGCGACGGTCTTGGGGCCAGTTGTTGGCCCCGCCGAGGCCGAAAACGGCGATCAAGCACCGCCCTGCTGTTTGCACGACGCGGCAGGTCTGGATCTTGTAGGGAGGAGGAGGCGGAGGAGGAGGAGGAGGAGGCGGACGAGGAGGAGGAGGAGGCGGAGGAGGAGGAGAAGGAGGAGGAGGCGGACGAGGAGGAGGGGGAGGAGGAGGAGGAGGGGCGGACGAGGAGGAGGAGAGAGGAGGAGGAGGAGGAGGAGGAGGAGGAGGGAGGGAGGGAGGAGGAGGAGGAGGAGGAGGAGGAGGAGGAGGAGGGAGGGAGGGAGGAGGAGGAGGCGAAGGAGGAGGAGGAGGCGGAGGAGGAGGAGGAGGAGGGCGCTATGTAGGAGGCCCACATGCAGGACGTGTAAGTACCCGCGCCTGGCGGCCCGGCCGGGCGCGCCGCCCGACCACGGGTGCGCGTCAAGCGGTCGGAGGGAAGGGGAAAGGCAGGAGGCCTCGTTTGCGCGTCAAGCGGTCGGCCAGGTGCGCAAGCGTCTCATTTGACGTCCTACCCCTCCCTCCCATCTTTTTCCATGGCATAGACATGTTCTCGATTCGCGAAGTCGGATGTCGTAGCATGGCATAGCATTGCATGGCATAGCGTGGCGTTGAAGATCAACGCAGTCCTAGCCCATCATAAGCAATTGGTCGTTAGACCCCCCTTTTTCCAATGGCCTCCCCCCTGATTTCCAATGGCACCCCCCTCCCCCCCTTTTTTCCAATGGCGCCCCCCTATTTCCAATGGCACCCCTTGCTTGCCCTTGCTTGCACTTGATCTTTTGCCCTTGCTTGCTCTTGCTTGCCCTTGCTTGCACTTGATCGCTGGTTCTTGCTTGCTTGTTATTGCTCGCTTGCGCTTGCTTGCTTCCGCTTGCTTGCTTGCGTTTGTTTGATTTTGCTCCTCCCGTCCTCCTCCCGTCCTGCCCCTCTCTTCCTGTCGTCCTCCTTCCATCCTCCTCTCGTCCTCCTCCTGTCCTCCTATCTATTTGGAGTCAACGCTGGCTGATTTGTTTCTCTATGTCTCTGTCTCTGTCCCTCTCTTTCTTTCTCTCTCTCGTATGTATATATATACATATAGATATATAAGATTCTGCAGTTGAGGAGGAGGAGGAAAGGAAAGGAAAGGAAGAAAAGGAGGAGGAGGACGACGAGGATGAGGACGAGGAGGACAAGGAAGAGGAGGAGGAAGAGAAGGAGGAGGAGGAGGAGGAGGAGGAGGAGGAGGGGGAGGACGAGGAGGTCGAGGAGGAGGACGAGGACGAGGAGGAGGAGGAGGAAGAGGAGGAGGAGGAGGAGGAGGAGGAGGAGGAGGAAATGAAGAAAAGGAGGAGGAAAGGAAGAAAAGGAGGAGGAGGACGACGAGCAGGAGGAGGACGAGGAGGACGATGAGGACGAGGAAAAGAGAAGGACGAGAGGGCGGACGAGGAGGAGGGAGAGAGGAGGAGGAGGAAGGAGGAGGAGGGCGGACGGAGGACGAGAGGACGGGAGGAGGAGGAGGAGGAGGAGGAGGAGGCGGAGGCGGGGGCGGGGCGGAGGCGGACGCGGAGGCGGCGGAGGCGGAGGCGGGGGCGGGGACGGAGGAGGGTCGGAGGAGGGGGGGGGGAGGAGAGAGGAGAGAAACCTACTGCCATATCGCCTTCTGCACCCCCAAACATCGGATCCTGCCCCTCCCTCCCTCCCCCTCTCCATCCCTCTCCCTCCTCCCTCCCTCCTCCTCGACGGAGGGCCCTCCTCCTTCCTCCTCCCTCCCTCCCTCCTCCCTCCCTCCCTCCTCCCTCCTCCCTTCTCCCTCCCTCCTCCCTCCTCCCCCCTCCTCCCTCTTCCCTCCTCCCTCCTCCCTCCCTCCTCCCTCCTCGGCGGAGGCCCGCGCCCTCGCTGGACGACTGGCGCAGCGTGGTCACGCCGGCCGGCTGCGCTGGGCCCGGCAGCGGCGGGAGTCCCCTCGGCAGCCCGGCGCTCGCGGGCCCGGTGCCCCGGGCGCGGCGGTCGGGTCGGTCGAGGCCTCCTCGATTTCGGGGGCGGCAGAGAGGGGGTCAGAGCCCCGAATCATCAGGGGTAGGCCCCACATCATCAGGGGTAACTCGGGTCAGGGCTAACTCGGGTTCCT